TCTGAAATAAAAATGAGTTATACTCACTTTTTCGAATATTTATATTTTATTGTCTAATATAATTTAAAGTATTTGAACTGTATCTTTCAATCCAGTAATTTATCTCTAAAACTTAACGCACTTAGTTTATTGATTAGGATTTTGACTCCTACTAACATCATGGAAAAATTCCTCTTTTCAAATTGTAGACTGTTGAAAAAAAAAAAGTCTTTATATTGTTTTAATATTAAATATATAAAACCCAAAAAACAAAAATAATAATCCCATTATGGAAGCAATTTGCATCTCTTTCTAAAACCTTCAATGTGTACCTTATTGCAATGTCAATTCTCCAGTATCCGTCCTCCCATCCCATCAGTTACATTGGCACCGAAACCATGTTTTTACTTTTCCTCTCAAACGCAAATTTAAGGCTTAATTTCTAATACATACATACATGTATACATATATATGTATAGTCCCGAAGAAAAGGTTACATTTGGCCGTGGCTTCACCGCTGCAGTAGCGTCATTAGGCTGCATGTGCAGTTCCTTAAAAAGACCTGAATTTCCAGTATGACTGGTGAAAGAGAGAGGCATGTTTCATGAATGGGGGTACTATACTATCATGTAATTGAATTCTATCAAGAGTTACATCTGGGGATTAACAGGATGTAAAAAAAGATTGTTAACAGAGTAAAAGTTAAAGGTACAAATTGAACAAATAAAAAAGATCGGGCTGTCGTAGGGCTGAGTCTGGCTCCTGCTACCAAAATGTAATGCCGCTGTCAACTTGCTAAACCCTAGTGATATACCCTTTTTTCTTCCCACCTTGCTATCCTGTGCCTGTGAAACCTCTTTTCTTTTTTTTACTCTTTTTTTTTTTCGCTCTTTTCCTTCTCTTTTTTAGATTTTCTCAAACTTCAACTACTTTCTCTTCCATTTCCTCCCATGTACAGGTACAAGAATGATTAAGAAGACCATGACTTGATGAATGTTGTATCAAAAACTACTGTCATGTCCTTGCTTCAATATATAACAACACGGAGAAGCCCTGGCTGTGGTTCTGAGTAGTCAAGGCCCTCCTCTTCAAGCAGATACCGCTGTACAGCAACTGGAAGTCTTGCTGGAGTGCGGGATCCCCTAGTGTGGTGACCAGTTCCAACACATACATAAACTTGCAGTCGCTGATCTGCTGCCCGTGCTGTGCTCCTAAGCACAGACAGCTCATGCTTCAGCACACTGATGGCTTCACTGACATGCAAACCATGTAAGTCTATCATCCTCTCAGGCCCTCTCACATTTTCTGGCCCAACTGGGTTTCTGAGAAGTAGAACATGGACACAATCAAAGATATCAAAACAGCATTTAGTCTATCAAAGATAAAACCACAAATAATCAGGACAATCGTACTAAGTCAAACTGTGGTGCAAGTATTATGTGCATGGCATATAGTGATCGATCATTCAGCAAACTAACATTTCTCTCATCTCATTGAACAATAAGAGATGTCAAATACCAATAACTAGGAACATTAATAACAAGGGAACCAAGATGGTGGGTAGAGGAGAACCTATTAACCATTTGGTCAAGAAAATCTGCTTCTCATGATCAAGACGAAACATAAGCAGCAAGAAATTACAAACCTCTGGCGATAAATAGATTCCTGAGCTTTTCCATGGGCTGCCTTCATATGCACATTATGTAGCTGTCCTTTCACACTCAGCTCCTTTGCTAGAGCTTTATTGCCAATAAGATACGCTTGCTGTGCCTATTTTAAAAAATCACAAGCATTATGACATCATACAGTGAAATTGAAAGATTTAAGTTCGATGAAACAAGAATGCAGACGGGTGTAATGAAGATCTACTAAATCATCCTTATCTGAACAATTTGGAAAATCACCAACGTGCAATTGTATGAAACCAGAAGGTCCAAAACACATTATACACAAAAAAAAGGCTGGTAATTATTGAAGCAAGATTGAAAATAAATTAAAACATCAAAAAGAAAAGTAAGAAAACAGGGGAATTTAGGTCAAAAGAATGTTTTTAGGTGGTGTGGAATCACAAGAGCGTGTAAGCAGAGACAAGACAAAACAAATTTATAGAGAAGTACCTGTTCCAAGTACACATTACGCAGTCGTGCATAGCCGCGGGCCTCTTCACGAAGTTCAGAATACATATTTGCTGCCAGCTCAACAATGTTAAAAGCAAATGAACATAGATCAATTAAAAGCTGTACAAATGCAAGAAGCATTTTAATGCAGAATATTACCCACTGCGTCCCCAGTTTCAAGCCAAACAGGAGCTGTTCGTTCCGACCCACGAATTTGCAACCTATCAGCATAAACACCTCTCCCATGTCCAGTATTATATGAATTGGCCAAAAGATGAGAACTTCTACTTGAGCCAACAGTCAAATCAGCAGAACCATTTTTATCATACTTCCATGTACCAGAATCCTGGGATGCTAACTTCTTGACAGCTGATGCAAAATTTAGGGGACCACTAAATGGAAGGGAGGAACCAGATTTGAGCATAAGTATGTTGTTTTTGTCAGAAAACTGATAAGGATTAGTGCTTTGCTGAAGATCATCTCCTGCATATTTTGGATGACCATTCTGATCATTTGATACTGTAAGTGAAGGAAAGTCCAGTGCACTGAGATTAGGAGCTGACAAGGCCTTTGAATTCAGATTCTGACTGAAACCACCATCAACCTGAGGCTGCAATTAAACACAGTATGTGCATTTAAATTCAATGCCAAAAGACTTAAAGGCAATTAAGATCTACATAACAGACATTGAAATGTCAAAAATGTATTATGTGTTGGAGTCTACTGATAAGGTGATTGCATTGAGTCACCTACAAACTTTATGGGAGCCGACTTTCCCTGCCAAAAGAAGGCATAAAAGGGATTGCTCTCCATGGTTAGCATCCAACCTATACCGACTTGACAGCATATCCCTTTCAAAAAGCCAGGACATGGAACACAAAAGTAATTAAAAAATAAAATAAAAAAGATCCCTCTTACAGTTTGGCAACTGTCTAATTATTAATCATTTGGAATTAAAAATAAAACTTGAAAAAGTAAATTGTGATGCACCATTAGATTCATCATGCAGCACAAGAGACAAGCACTTCAAACTTGATTAAATTTAAACAGCTATGTATACTCACCTCAAGCTGAGTGAGCATCTCAAGAGTTAAGTTTAAGTCACCAGCATTGGCAAAATAAACTTCCTCAAGGCTTTCAACAGAAAATTCAGGAAATTGTGAAGCCAAAAAATCAAGAGGATTCATGCCAGAATTATCTAGCAAAGTTTGATCAGCAAACATATCATTTGTGAACCCATATTTGGTCACATCAAAAGGATTTCCCTCCCTACCATTGCCAAGAAGCTGATCACTGCTCACAAGTTGTGTGTCACGAGGCTCAGCTGGTAAATGCATATAACTAGCAAGAGTAGGATCCTCTGAATAGGATGAAGCAGAGTATCTCATCTTCTCAGAAAAGCCACTGCCACCACTGAGATTTTGTGGAGACAATTCCAGCTGCTCACTAAATACGTATCCACCACCCGCAGAGGAAAAAAAACTGGAAGCAGGAGACCTCGAAGTTTCATTATTGTCGAGCAATGACAAACCTGACAAAGAAAGGCTTCCAATTCCTTGAGAATCATCCTCATTCATGATCTCAAAATCTGGGGTAATGTCATCCGGGAGCTGGCTACGCCAATATTGGTGGGCCTCGTCATCAGAGTTGTTTGAAACCGATGACTCGGATCGATCAAGCACTGTTTTTCCAACAGTCCCAAAAGGAGGAAACTTTGGGGTCACATCTGCCACACTAGTGCTTCCAGATGCAGATGATGACCTAAGGGCAAAAGGAACAAACTCTGCCGCATTTGGGTTTAAAGTTGTTACCTTGCTTGAGGTATTTATCTTTGTATCACTGATTTGGATCCCTTTCTTGGATAAGCTCATTCTTTACTGAAACAAATGAAGATTCTACATACATAAAGTAGATTGACACTCTGACACAAGACACGCTTTGAGTTCCAGAAGATTTCAGCCAAATCCTGCAAAAAGTATTGGATTAATAAGTCAAACTGACAAAAAGAATCTTAATTTGAAGCCAGAATCACACACATAGCTCTTCCCAGTTCCCACCCCAGAAATGGACTAAACAACCATCCCTGAAACTGCTATACCTCAACAGAAATCCAAACAAAATTTCCATCAAATTGCAACATGGTACAAAGAAATTGCAAAACACGCGAAAGTTGAAACCCTAGAATTCATAATTCCACCCCCCCCCCAAAAAAAAAAAAACACACACAAATTCATAGTTTGTTCTAAAAAAGAACAAGACAACAGAAAAATCCTCAAAAGAATTCAAAATAGCAGTCTCATTTAATTAACAAAAATTAAAAATAACACTCAGAATAAGAAAAATCCGGTTTCAGAAAATCCACCAAAATCGAGAGTAATAATTAAACAAACCCCAAAATACTAAATAAAGAACATAACAGAACAACAAAGCAGTATCATCCAATCAATCAATTTCAAGAGATCTTAAGTCAATGCAACAGCCAAAAAAATCCAAACTTTTTAAAACCATCGAGACGAATTCCAGAAAACAAAAACACCCACGAACCATAACAGGGAGCAAGGCTGAGAAACGAAGAGATCTGAGGATAATCAATACCTTTGCGAACCAAATTGAATGGATCCATAAGAGGATGAAAGCAGAGACCCTAAGAGTTTAAAAAGATGGGAAGGGAAGAGATACAGAGAAGGATGAAGAAAAAAGATAAAGCTTGATTTTGTTGGTTTCGTATTTGGGATTGAAGCTGGAGTCTCTCTCTTAGCTGCAGTATTTTCTCAGCTTTCAGGTATGTTCTTCGTATTTTCTCCTGTGATTTTTTTAGAAAAAAAAAATATAATAATGTGTTCGAGCTAATTTCAGCAGCAGCACCACTATAACCACCACAAAAATATATAAAAACAGAGAACACACAAGCCTTCACCGCTGGATTTAGTCACTCTGTTTCTCTCTGGACCCTCAGATCGTAATTAAATGATTGGTTTAGGGTTGGGATTTGGAAAAGCTAAAGCATGATAAAACCCTGCTTAGTGAATTTTCGTTTTCCTTTTTTTATTTATTCTTCCCATTTTCAGTGTTCCAGAGGCACCATTCTTGCTTTGTCGTAGCCCTAATGTCAGCATTGTCATTTGATGGAAGTGTTAAATTATGATTTTTTTTTAGTAAGTGTCACAGGTTAACAATGATTATATATTTTAATATTAATTAGTATTAAAAAATATAAAAATATATTATTAATTTAATTATTAGTATTTTACAAATTATTTTAATTAAATAATTATTTTTAAAATATTAGTTTTTATTTTTTAATATTATTTTTAATTATATAATACTTTTATATTTGGAGTTTATACATGTCAAGGGACTTTAGCTTTGTATTGGCAATATTTTTATCGAGAAAATGATTAAAAACGTATTATATTTAAAAGTTTATAAGTTTTGTAAGAAGATTTTATTAAATTATTAATTTTTTT